ATGGGATGGAGAAGTACTCACATTACTGAAATCCTAAATGTATAAATTGACATACCTTTACTGTGTAAAGCATGGTACATAGAAGAAAAACACATTACATTTTCCTAAAAGCAAAAAGCACTTGCATTTTCTCTCTCTTGGTGAGAGAAGAACAAATGTTAAACACACTGGTAGATCTTTGTTACAGCTAAAGTGCCATATTAGTCCCAATATAGGCTTTGATCTTAAAATGAGATTGATTTTATAAGAATGAAAAATATTTAAATACATATATATGTGACAGTTATGAAAACCTTCATATCCTTCAATTCAAACAAAAATGTTACATGTTATTGTAACTGTTCTCTTTGTCTTCATCAAGTTTGCTTTTTGCTAGAATTGTATCAATTAGAGGCTGCACTCAGGTTTCATGTGAGCCAGGTGATGAGGTGAAATCACAACCAATGCAGTGTATTGTCCTGTGGGCCAAGATGAAACTTTTCATTTTTCTGTTTCTGACTCCTTCCTTTTTTCAGTGGGTTGTAGCAGAAGGAGCCCAGCACTTGGAGTGACAAGCCTTTGCTTTGAGTTCTGGCTCTGACACTGACTTCATGTAAGATCACAGTCAAGTTTTTTAAGCTCCCTGAGTTTCAATTTCCTTTCGTATGAGAGGGGAATAATGATACTTGCAGGACTCGCCTCATAGGGTTGCCCTGGAGATCAGATAAGATAATAGGTTCCTAAAAATTGCTGTGTAACCATAATCTAACATAACGATTCCCTCCTTTCCTTCCTTCTAACTGACTGAGCTGGAATATACTATACAGCTCATCTAGTCCACCTGCTCATTTCACAAATGAGAAAACTGTGGTTCAGAAGGTCAACAGTTACATATTTTCTCTGCCTCTTTCCTTTTATTTTGTCTGAACACTTCAATCATTTTCTCTCTCTCTCTCTCTCTCTCTCTCTCTCTCTCTGCTCTGTCTTTCTCTCTCTGTCTTTCTGTGTCTCTGTCTCTGTTTCTCTGTCGTCTCTCTGTCCATCTCTGTCTTTCTCTCTCTGTCTCTCCCCCTCCTTTTCTGCCTCCCCCTCATAGTTAGGATATGGTCTTATAGAGATAAAAGTGTCTAATGGAAAAAGTTGAAAAGAAAGTTGTCATCTTCCTTCCTAAGGTGCAGGGACTTATGACTTCCAATGATCATCCTGTAGCTCCCCTCTAAAGGGAAGTGAAGATTCACCATCGTTCTTGTTGTGTTTATCCCAAGGTTTAATGTGGGAACAAATCCAGAAAGAGTGTCTGGGCAGTTGGACAAACTCTAGGCCTTTTACTCACAGTGGTGAATGGTGGAGTGACAGTTTTCTTGAAAACTGTCATTTGTGGATGGTCAAGACATTTCTACCTGACTCTGCTGCTTAGCACTTCACTATCTGCTTTTATGTAGCTGACTTTGAAGGGGTTTTCCCCATCTGTGGGAAAATATTTTCTGACTGTCCAGCTGCTAGGAAAAGACAGTCTGGGGCATTCTTTCTCATCTGGACTTTTCATTTTGTAGATTCAGGCATGCATTTAAAATACAAGTAAAACACAGCAGGAATCATTGAGTAGTATGGTATTGAAGAGTAAAGTTTCATATCCTGAAAGTTTCAAGAAGAGAATTTTTACATTTTTGTTTGGTTTGGGGTTTTCCTGAAAGTACTTTCCACAGCCAAAGAGGAGCTTCTCATGCTGGCAAGATTCAGCCCAGTGCACTAGACCTGGAGGGATTGAGCCAGACAGAGTGTTGCAAGCACTGTGAATGCTGATGAACCATACTCTCTGGTATTATTACCTAGTCACCTAAGTCATTATGTTCAATGATTCATAGAACAAAGAGCTGGAACATACTTTAAATCCTAAATCTTTCTTTTTATTGATAAGGAAACTGAGGCTCAGAGAGGAGAATTAGTCACCTAAAGGGTATTTTTAATCAGTTATGCTATACTATGGTTCCAAAGGTATTGACATTCAAGGAACTGACATTCTGTGGGGTGATAGGTGAAAGGAGGTAATAGCTCGTAGATGGCATTCACTCTTAGATCTTCTGACTCTAAAACCAGCATTCTTTGGGAAAGATATGGGGTCAGAATTCTACTTGTGGTTTAATTGGCATAGGAAGCTCCCAGATGGGGACACTCTTTACCAATGCAGGTTGTCACATTTTCTACAACCTGTAGTCTTACAGAGTGGTCTGGAGCACTCAGAGGTTAAATGATTTGCCCAGGGTCACGCAGACAGTGTATGTCAGAGTGGAACTTGAATTCAGATCTTCCTACCTCTGAGGTCAGCTCATTATTCACTATACCATGCTATCTCTTCTGGAAAGAAAGTTGGAGGGGCAGCTAGGTGGCGCAGTGGATAGAGCACTGGCCCTGAAGTCAGGAGGACCTGAGTTCAAATCTGGCCTCAGACCAAACAGTTGACACTTACTAGCTGTGTGACCCTGGGCAAGTCACTTAACCCCAATTGCCTAAAAGCAAAAAAAAAAAGTTGGAGAATTTCTTTATTGGAATGCACTCTAGTCTAGTATATGATAGCATGGAAATAGCACAGTTCAGGGAGCTAAGAGTTCTGGGCTCTCATCTTGGATCTGCTGCTAACACATTGGGTCACCTTAAGTGAGTCATTTTACTTCTCTGGGGCTCAGTTTCTGAATCAGTAAAACAAGGGAATTGGATTAATTGATTTCTAAATTCCATTGCCATTCTAAAATTCTATGATTCTATATTGTGTTTTAGCATTTTGATCTAGGTAAGCTCCATTATGTGTATTTGTTACGTGCATCCTATGACATCCATCATATAAGCAAGTTAAATTACGTTGGGATTATATTGGGGGTAGTGTGGCATAATGGATGGAGAGCCAGCCTTGGAGCCAGGAGGATGAGTTCAAGCCCCTCCTCTGGCACATATAATGGCCTGGACAAGTCATTTCACCTCTCAGGGCTGCATGCAGGAATCTATGACTACAAGTTGCTGGTCTACATCAGTAGAATTTCTTCATCTGGAAGTTCTTTATACCAATGAAAATACAAGTCCATCACCCATTCTTTATCCCTACCCCTCTGCTCATTGTGGTCACTCAGAAAATGGAGAAAAACTATAGCACAACTCCCAAGATTTATTTAGAAACTGAAAAAGATGGTAAGAAAGTAAATGTGTTGACCATTGCGGTATCTGACCCCATAGTTTAATATATTGCCTTATTATGTTTACTCTTGTCCTTTTTTTTTCTTGCACATGGACAGCCTTTTAAGTTTTTCTTTTTTATGGGCTACTTTAATTCATAGTAGAATGAGTAAAGATTTAAGGGAGGATGAAGGAGAACAGGGTAGGTGATTTCCATTCATTGAACTATGATTTATTAAGGTTCTACCATATTCAAGGTGAGAGGTGATGGTGGTGTAGTGGGTGGCAAGCTAGCTTCAGAATTGAAACAACATAGGTTCAAAGTGCCTTAGTGACCCTGGGTGAGAAACATAACATCTCGCTGCCTGCAAGCAACTTTCTTTTTAGAATAAATGTTTATTGATATCTTTTGTTTTCATATTGTTTACTTTTCCCAATGTATTCTTCCCTTCTCCTCCTCCCAGAGAGCCATTCCAGAGAGAGAGAGAGAGAGAGAGAGAGAGAGAGAGAGAGAGAGAGAGAGAGAGAGAGAGAGAGAAACAGCTCAGAAAGTAACCAAGATAAGTCAGGTATTATATGCACACTCCTACACCCAAAATCCCTTAGCTTTGCCAAGAGGTTGGGGGTAGGGATGTGGCTGTCCAGGTGACTTTCTAAGACTAGAAACTGCAGGATAGTTAAAGGTCCTCATTGGTAGATAAATTGTCTTCAGTAAGAGACAAAGAGCACAAGTCCTAGAGTCAGAAGGCCTGATTTCAAAGCAAATCTCAGATGCTTTCTGCCAAGCTGACCTTGATCACATCATGTTGTTTCCTTGGGCCTCAGTTTTCTAATTTGTCAAATGATAGAATTGGATTAGATTACCTCAGAGATCCCTTACAGCTTGCTCTAGGTCTGTGGTCCTCAGTCAAAAGTCTAGTTCCACCTTCCCATCCTCCCCAAATATGAAAGGTGTCATGCTTAGGTGCTGAGGAAGATAAAAAGCTGAGTAAGATACATTCCATGCCTTTAGCGTTCTTACATTCCTGTTGAGAGAGGCAAGGTGTATACACACATAACTATACTAGAAAATAAAATGTGAAAAATGCATAAGAACAGGTATGAACATGGGCAACATGGGGCAATGAGAACTCCTAAAGAGGGAGAGCTCCTGTCCTGCTTGGGTGAAGGGCAGCGGCAGGAGCATGGGTTCAGGGTAGCCTTCCTGGAGAAAATGAGATTTTGAGCTTCACCTAGAAAGATGGTTAGAATTTCAGTGGATGCAGTCATTTGGGGAAGGATTGGTATAGGGAAATAGTATGAGCAAAAATATAGGGGTAGGAAAGTAGAATACATTTGGGAGATGATAAATAATCTAGTTTGGCCACAGTATAGAGTATACAAAGGAGAGAAACTTGAAATAAAGCTCAAAGATGAGGCTGGGCATAGATTATGGATGGGCTTACAATGCTTCCTTTATTATGTTACTAATTAAGGTCAACCAGGTGGCACAGGAGATAGAGTGTTAGACCAAGTACCAGAAAACCTGAGTTTGAATCTGATCTCAGACACTTACTCGCTATGTAACCTTGAGTAAATTACTTAATCTCTGCCTCAGTTCTCTCATCTGTAACATAGGAATAATAGAAACTACCTCTCAAGGTTATTATAATGATAACAAAAATTTAAAATAATTATAATAGCTAGCACTTAGGCAGTGTTTTAAAGTTTGCAAAGTGCTTTACAAATATTTACAAAGTTCTTTGGAAAACTTAACAAGTGCTAGTTATTGTGTTGTTGTTGTTGTTGTTATTTTTCATCTTTATATAGCGATATAAGTGTGTACTACAAAAGTAAAGTTGCATTCTTTCCCATAGGTAAAAATGGCAATAAGAAAAGTGAAAAGACCAGGAGTCATGACAAGGTTTCAGATGGAGACTATGAATCCCAAATTGTTTCTGAAGAAGTCAGAGAAAGTAAGTAAAGAATCTTTGCCATACCCCGTTCTTCCTCATCTCTGTTTCCTATATGGGTAATGATTAACTGGTTGGGGCCCTTGTAGAAAACTAGGTCTTAGTACATATAGTGTAGAATCATATGAAGTAATCAGACACTGATTATGATTGAGGTGCTTAGTCATTTGTGTGTGTTGTTGTGTTGTTTTGTTTTTGAATGCCATTTAAATGTCATTTTTTAATAATAAAACATGTTTTCATATTAGCCTTGTTGCAAAAGAAAACACCCACAAAAAACCCCCAAGAAAATAAAGTAAAAAATTATCCTTTAATCTGCCCTCAGAGTGCATCAGTTCTCTCTCTGGAGGTAGAGAGCATTTTTTATCATGGGTCTTTTGGAATTGTCTTGGATCATTGCCTTGATCAGAATAGCAAAGTCTTTCACAACTGATCATTCTTGCAATATTGCTGGTACTGTTTGCAATGTTCTCCTCACTTCACTTTGCATTGGTTCATATAAATCTTCCTAGGTTTTTCTGAAACCATCCTGCTCGTTATTTCTTATAGCACAATAGTATTCCATCACTATCATACACCATGGCTTGTTCAGCACTTCCCCAATTGATGGGCACCCCCTCAATTTCCAGTTCTTTGCCACCACAAAAAGAGTTGCTACAGACTTTTTTTTGTACAAATAGATGCTTTTCCCTTTTCTTGGATCTCTTTGGAATACAGATCCAGTAATGGCATTGCTGAGTCAAAGGGTCTGCACAATTTTATAGCCCTTTGGGTGTAGTACCCAATTTTTCTCCAGAATGTCTAGACTAATTCACACCTCCACCAACAGTGCATTAATGTCCCAATTTTTCTACATACCTCAAGAATCTGCCATTTTCCATTTGATTCCTGTTAGCCAATCTGATAGATGAGAAGTGGTATCTCAATTTAATTTGTATTTCTCAAATCCATAACAATTTAGAGAATTTTTTCATGTGACTATTGATAGCTTTGACTTCTATTTCTAAAATTGAGGGTCTACAGGTGTTCAGAGAAGACTAGTACCTATGGTGTGAGCGCTGCCAAGCCCTTTTCAGGACTGCTTTCCATCTTTGGTGTTCAACTGCCACCCAACTCTGTGGCTATAAAAAGCTATGTACTATGTACAGCATCCACACACCACTAAACCATTTTGGCAGATGAGATAAACCAGTTTGAGGGTAAACAAAGGGCCTCGAACCTATCTGTGAGTTAGTAGGGTGTCTAACCTAAGCACATGAAGACTTCCTTTGGTGGAATGGGTGGATGAGAACAGTTTGTTCCAATGGCCACGAAGGTGGCAGAAGCAGGTGCTATGGAGTGCTTAAAGCTTGGTTAGACATTGCAGACACCAAAGTCATCCACTGCATCCACAGGGCCATTACCAGTCATCTTGACTTTTGTCTTATCTTTGGACTTCTATGATTCTTGAAGACAAAGTGAGGCCAATGATTTTGCACAACTCTCCCTCACTTAAGTCTAACTTATATGCAAGTCAAATGACATCACCCACACCATTTTACCCTCTTTACCTACCTTGAAGTCTTATGGCGATGGGCAAGTGACAAAGCAGCAGGTACAGATACACTGAGAGCTGTAGTCACACCCCTGAACACAGGTGGCCCAGGGCATAGGGTCATCTTCTCATTGGCCTGAAACAGCAGTGGGATTCAGCAGCCCCATGGGTGACTGAGCAGTCTTTTTTAAAGCCTGCGCTGCTGACCTCCTTTTGTAAGGAAAGGCCTAGAAAAGATGCCAAAAATTTGTCTGCTTCACCTAACTAACCTGGCCTGCTTACCATGGCAAGTGGGGATCCTACCCTGTTGTGTGTTTGGTCAAAACACACAAAAAATCTGCAAAAACTTTGGTGACACTCTCAAGATCTCTCTGAAGCAATTTTGAGATACAGGAGACCCTGGCACAGAGATCCCCCCAGTACAGCATGCCTGTATCTAAGAAGATACTATGCTCTATAAACAAAGAAGAATTTTAGTAGCTCAAAAGAAACTTGAGATGAGAAAATTTAGAGACATCTCCACTCCAAAAGTTTATATGGAGTATTTGTGCCTGACCTGTGGTAGAGCCTTCCAAACTCACATTGGTCTGATCAGCCACAGTTGGACATACTGTACCTTGATTCCAACATAGTGATGCCTGACCTGTGGTAGAGCCTTCCAAACTCACATTGGTCTGATCAGCCACAGTTGGACATACTGTACCTTGATTCCAACATAGTGATGCCATTTTGGTCCTCTTTGAGCATGCAGGACAACAACTAACCAGCTAACTAATTAACTTCTGAAATCTGCCTGTTCATATCTTTTGACTAATTATCAACTGAGGAATGGCCCATATTTTTATAAATTTGACTCAGTTCCCTATATAGTTGAGAAATGAGGCCTTTATCAAAGAAACTTGCTGTAATTTTTTCGCATTTCCTGTTATCCTTTTAATTTTGGCTGCATTAGTTTTATTTGTGCAAAACCTTTTTAATTTCACATAATCAAAATGATCTATTTTACATCACATAACTCTCTCTGTCTTTTGTTTGGTCATAAACTCTCCCCTTTTCCATAGATCTGACAGGTACATTTTCTTATGCTCCTCTAATTTATTTATGATATCATCCTTTATGTCTAAATAATGTATACATTTTGACCTTATCTTGGAGTATAGTGTGAAATGTTAGTCTATGGCTAGTTTTTGCCAAATGGCTTTCCAGTTTTTCCAGCAGTGTTTGTCAAATGGAGAATTCTTATCCCCAAAACTTGAATCTTTAGGTTCATCAAACATTGCATTACTATGATCATTGACTACAATGTATTGTGTACCTAATCCATTTCACTGATCCATCTATTCCTTAGCCAGTACCAGATTGTTTTAATGGTTACCACTTTGTAATATAGTTCCTTCCTATATAGTAATATGTCATTTTCCTTCACATTCTTTCATTGGTTCTCTTGATATTCTGGTTTGTTTTGTTCTTCCAGATGAATTTAGTTATTTTTTCTAGCTCTGTAAAATAATTCTTTGGTAGTTTGATTTGTATGGCACTGAATAAGTAAATTAACTTAGGTAGATTTGTGATTTTATCATGTTGTCTCAGCTTGAGCAAATAGTTCTCTAATTATTTAGATCTGTCTTTATTTGTACGAAACATGTTTTGTAATTGTATTCATATAATTCCTGGGTTTATCTTGGCAGGAAAACTCCTAAGTATTTTATATTGTCTGCAATTATTTTAAATGGAATTTCTCTTTCTAGCACTTCCTTCTGAGTTTCATTGGTGGTATGTAGAAATGCTTGTGATGTATGTGGGTTTATTTTGTATCCTGCAGCTTTTCTAAAATTGTTAATTGTTCTCTAGGATTCTCTAAATATACCATGATATATCTGTGAATATTTAGAGTTTTGTTTCCTCATTGCTTATTTTTATTCCTCCAATTTATTTTTCTTATCTTATTGTGACAGCTAGCATATCTAATTTAAAAGTGAATAATAATGATGATGATGGACACCCTTGCTTCACCCTTGATCTTATTGGGAAGGCTTCAAGTTTATCCCCATTACAGATAATGCTCTATTCACTGCACTGTCTAAGTACTCCATTTTGCCATGTGGTCTCTGGGAAAGTACTTAACAGAGGTATAAACAATAGGCTTTGAGAGTTCTAAGGGAAGAGGGAGAACTTCTGGGGATTGAATAGCTAATGGTCCGGCTCTGTCTTTGCCTTGATGCCCCAGCTTTCCAAAGGCTGCGGTATAGATTATCTTTTGGGTTCACAGCCATTGAAGAAGCTGGAGGTTCTCTCTTTTACACTTGAAGAGTGGGTGGAAGGTCCAGAGAACCTGGTCCAGAACAATAAGATTTTATCCTTTGATAGGTAGGAGTATGATTGATAATCCCTGACCTCTAAGTAAGGTAAAACGAAGAGAAATGAAATGTTTAATAGCAGAAACATGACCTTGGGAAGCTGGTTACTTTTTCTGATGGTTGGTTTCATCATCTCTCATCTTTTCTCATCTCTTCAAATAAAGAATTTAGGCCAGAGAATCAATAGGGTCCCTTCCAACCCCATCATCCCATCTAGGAATTCCAATCTGGAGAAAAGTAAGCAAGACATTTTAACAGAGATGAGCTAATTGGTAACTAGTTGATTGGGGCCTTCATACTGGTGCTGGCGTATGGCAATCCAGATGCAATTTTAGAATCAAGGAAGGTGCTGAGCTCAGGTTCCCATCAGTATATCACCACCCAATTTGTTGTTAGCCAGGCTCCAACAGATACTTTGCCTTCACATGCCATTGTTATTTCCTCATGATGGAATTATCATCCAGGAAGCTCAGTGGGTATAACCTTAAAACTTCTCTTCTCTGAAATAATGGAAGGCTGTGAAGTGGTAATTAATGGGATCTTTTCATGTGAGAAGAGCTGACATGGTCTTTGTTGACTTAGTAAATGCTGTGACAGATTGTTACATCAGGCATCAGATTTCAGGCATGAAATTTCAGGCATTTGGAGCTTTTAGGGAGATGAGGGAGAAATTGGGAGAACTAAAGCCATAGATACATTTTGGACAGATTGCTGTTGAAGAAGTATAAGAAAATGAGGTGGCATCACCTAGTGAATAGACACCTGGCTTTGAAGCCAGAAGGACCCTGGATGGTTGGGATGTGGGACATTTATTAAACTCCTTGTATGTGCCAGGTACTGTGCTAAATACTTTTTAAATATCTCATTTGAACTTCACAACAACCTTGTGAGTTAGGTGCTGTTATTATCCTCATTTTATGGTTGAGAAAATTGAGGTCAAGAGAAGTTAAGTGACTTGCTCAAGGTTACACAGCTAGCAAGTGTCAGAGGCTAGATTTGAACTCAGGAACATCAGTCTGTTCCTAAGTAAACTAGATTTTAAGAGTGGAAAGGACTTCAGAGAGCTTTTATCAATCCTTTTTTTTTTTAATAGATAATGACACTGAGGCCCA